GGAGTCTGGCGGAGGCTCCGAAGGGAACCCAGACTTTCCCATGGCCTCGCTGTACGTGGGCGACCTGCACCCTGAGGTGACCGAGGCAATGCTGTATGAGAAGTTCAGCCCAGCTGGGCCCATTCTCTCCATCCGCATTTGCAGGGACAAGATCACTCGCCGCTCGTTGGGCTACGCATATGTCAACTACCAGCAACCGGTGGACGCCAAACGGGCCCTGGAGACCTTGAACTTTGATGTCATAAAGGGTAGACCAGTGCGCATCATGTGGTCCCAGAGGGACCCGTCGCTTCGCAAGAGCGGGGTGGGCAACGTCTTCATCAAGAACCTGGGCAAGACCATCGACAACAAGGCGTTGTACAACATCTTCTCGGCGTTTGGCAACATCCTTTCCTGCAAAGTGGCCTGCGACGAGAAGGGGCCCAAGGGCTACGGGTTCGTCCACTTCCAGAAGCAGGAGTCTGCGGAACGGGCCATTGATGCGATGAATGGCATGTTCCTGAACTACCGCAAAATTTTCGTCGGGAGATTCAAGTCGCATAAAGAACGAGAGGCCGAAAGGGGAGCCTGGGCCAGGCAGTCCACCAGTGCTGACGTCAAGGATTTCGAGGACGACACCGACGAAGAGGCCACCTTGCGATGAAGATATCCCAGGAGTGAGCCAGCCAGCAGAGCCAAACCTTGGCTCCCACCCGGTTTACAACCCCCGCATCCCCCCAACCCACCAGCAGTGTATTGTATTGGGAGTGCAGGTCTCTCTCTCTCTCTCTCTCTCTCTCTCTCTCCATTTCTCCTCTCTTTCCTTTCCCCTCTCCTCTTCCTCCCCTCACTTTTCTCTCCCCTCCCTCCCTCCCTCCCTCCCTCCGTCTTTCTCTATCCTGCTTTCCTTGTCCCTCTTTGCCCACTCCCCACCTTTTGCCTCTCCTCTTCTCTCTCCAGCTTCCTTTCCTCTCTCCCTCGCCCTCCCCCACCCCCACCAAGGGCGTTGTGAATAATCTTACTAATCTGTGCCATTTCATAGGTTAAAGGCTGCCTCTTCTCCCTGTGGTTTGGTTTAAAAAGCATTTTCTCTCTCTCTTTGTTTACTGCAAAAGTGATATAATTTCATGGTAGAAACATCAGAAAGGAGAAGGACATCAGATGAGGGGTAACCAAGAGAGTACATGCTCCCCAAGATCCTAGTACCCAGAGAGAACCACTTTTACCTTTTTGGTGTGCTATTTTTCCAGGCTCTCTCCTTCCTCTCTCTTTCTCTCTCCCTCTCTCCCTCCCCCCCTTCTCCCTCTCTCCCTCCCTCCCTCTCCCTCTTCTCTCTTCTCCCTCTCCCTCTTGCCCTTCCTCACCCTGCCCCCACCTTCTCTTTTAACACACACACTGTTATACTATTGAATGGTTCGTGTATGTGGTGTTTCTTAACCTGCTTTTCAGCAACTGAAACCAAACAAAAATCAACCCATTGAACTTCTCTCCGTGTTATTCAACAGGCTTATGAAACGTCATCTTCAGTGCCTGCAGAGTGCTCCAGTGGCCCTTAACATTTCTGTAATCATTCCTGCATCGTTGGACATTCAGGTGGTGCCTAGTTCTTTCCTCGAGTTTAAAACCAACGCTGCGTGCTCTGATGAGTGAATCTGTCCTTGTCAAGCCAAATCCTTGCTAGCATCCCGGATGGTCTCCTTAACTGTGGACTTGCAGGATCCACATGTAGACATTTTACAGACTTTTCCTGTGTGTTGCCAAATGGCCCCCTTCACAAGCGATGTACTGATTTGCACTTGCACCGGCCAGCGCAGCTAGTAAAAAGTGTATGCCCATTTCCCCTGCATAGTCTCTTGGTCTCACTGTAATTGGCACTTGCACCGGCCAGCGCAGCTAGTAAAAAGTGTATGCCCATTTCCCCTGCATAGTCTCTTGGTCATCACTGTAATTGGTGTGTGTGTGTGTGTATGTGTGGATACTTGTGTGTGTGTGTGTGTGTGTGTGTATGTACGGATACCGGCATGCATGTGTGTGAGTGTTGCACCTGTATGTATGTGTCTGTGCTAGGGCGTGCATATGCAAGTGCACAGTGCTAGCCTGTTTGATGGGCTGTGAAAGGTATTTTGCTGTCCTTGGTTGTTTTGCTGTAATTAAAACACTGTTTATCACTCCCTTTCCCTGTGCCCACTTCCTGTCCCTTTTCCCATTGCAAGAAAAATACTTCAACTTCATGGCAGGAAAAAAAAAAATCACAAAGCAGACAAGATAACAAAATTGAAGTTACTGGTAATCATTTCTATTGACCACACATACACTCCTGAAACATTTTCTTCTGTACCTGTCTAATATTTTTCATGTGTTATATATATTTGTGAATTTAATGTATATACTGTTTAAATATCAGCTTTTTCACACATGAATATATAATATAGATATAGATGTATAAATGAATATTCTTGAACTTCCTTTCGTGTCATTAAATATTCTTCTAAATTAGTTTCCTTTCTGTTTATTGTTTTACTGTATTGATGGGCTGGATGTGAGGATAGAATGAAATATATATGTGTGTGTGTGTGTGTGTGTGTGTGTGTGTGTGTGTGTGTGTTTCTATATCTGTACTTATTCTAGATATCTGGATATTTCAGTTTACTGCTTCATTTTTTAACATCTGGGTTTCCTTTTTCTTATTGAAGGCAAAGCTCCCAAGAAGATGATGCATAAACCTTATATTCAGTATTATTTCTTAAATAAATATTGTTGAAAGTATAATTGAATGGCCAAAGGATATGGGAGGTTTAACGTCTTTTTCTTTCTTGATTTATTAGTAAGTGACTATCTGTGAAGATAGTGCCTGTTTACCCTCATAATATACACAAGTATTATGATAGGACCTGAATACCTTGATTGTGTTTTTGGACTTGGTATTACAATTCCTTCTTTACTTTTCTAATATTTTGTCAAGATATTTAGAGATTAGTTGTTTTCATTTATTTTAAACATTTATCTTTATACATATATTATAGTCTTTTAAAGAATATTGGTAGGGAAAAATTTTAAATCACTCCTAATCCCGCCATTTGACAAAAATATTGTGATATATTTGAAACATGTACATAAGTAATTAATACTTAAAGAAATGCAATGCATTTATTTCATTCTGGTATATTTTCACTTCAATAGGTCTTTCTTGTATCTTTACAAATTTTAATGGTTTCTTCTTTTATTTGAGGGAGAGATTTTTGCTATAGGACACATGCACTCATCAAACAGAAAGACAAAAGCAAGAAATCACTCCTTAGAAAGTATGGCGATGCTGCAATCCATTCTTTCAGAATTTGGGGCATGCTTGTACACATGCCTGATGTGAGTTTCAAGCCACCAGGTCTGGTACTAGAACTGTGGTTGGCCATGTGGCAGTCCAGCACCTTACCACTTCACCACCTGCTGGCCCCAAAGGTTTCTATGAAGTTTCTTTAATTAATTAATTAATTTTTGCCATAGAGCATGTGTGCTTGCCCTCTCCTGCTGGAGAAACAGAGAGAGATGAAGACAGAAAGTGAGAAATCATTCCCCCAGGGAGGATGGCCGCATCGCCATCCCTTCTTTACTCTCCTCTTGGGATTCTGCGAATGCATGCACATGTGCCTGGCATGCATTTCAAGCCACCAGGACTTTGGGACTTGAACCTTCAGTCATGTGAAGTCTAGCACCTTAACCACCATGTCACCTGCTGGCCCCTTTCTATGATTTTGTTTTTACTTAATGTTCTCTTCACAGATGAGCTATAATTTCTAAATTCAACTCCTTGATGTATTTTTAAATGGTGCTGGTATTTTACCAGTGATATTTAACTACAGGAAACACATAGGTGAATGTTTTCTGACATCGAGGTACATTTAATAGCCTCATATACTTTGTCATTCATTGCCTAAAACTTCTTCCATATTGTTTATGCCCATCAACAGTATAAGAGAGTGCATGTTTCTTTGTCCATCTTCTTCAGTTAATAAGTTTTTAAATTAGGAGAAATTAGACTTGTGGATATTTTCTTTCATTTCATTTTACAAGTGCATTACTTAAAAAAGAGACACATGTTAAATATACACAATGATCACTTTGAAGATATTATTTTATGCCCTTGAAGGCTTTTTCTGTTTGTCTACACATTTTAAAACAGATATAGAGTCATACTGAATGTATCCTGTATATGCATACTAAATATGTTTTGTGAAAATGTCCTTCACTTATTGTGAATCATCTAAAACATATTTTGCTATTCAGTATTCTCCCACAGCTCACTGCCATTGTATAGATGGATCAGAAATTAAAAAAAAAATGTTTCTTGACTTTGGGCTTTAAAGTAGTTTCTAAGTTTTCTCCAGTAACCCCAAATGTGTTGTGAATAATTTTGTAGTAATATTCTTATAGTATTATTTATTTAAAATAATACCCCAAAGTGAAATTAAAAAGTAAAACTTTTTAAAGTTTTTTTAACTGTACCATCTATTAGCCTGGATATACCAATTTATACTTCCACTAACACTTTAGAAGAATGCCCACTTTCCTGCACAAGATCTTCCCTCGGTAAACTTTATTTTGGGGGGCCAGCAATGGCAAAATGGTTACATCACTGGATTCCTACATAGTTGACTGTGATTTGAGTCCTGGACCCAGCAGCTTAAAACTCATGCCAGGCATGTGTATGTGTGTGCCCAAAATTCTGAGAGGAGGATGGAGGAAAAGGGATTGTGGCATGGCCATCCTTCCTGGGGGTTTATTTCTCATTTTCTGTTTCTCTCTGTCTCTCCGGCAAGCACACACACCACTCTATAGCAAAAATCTCTGTCTTAAAAAAAGACAAAACTTTTTATTTGTCAATATAATTCTATAAAAATGTTTCATTTTTTTTAATTTAAAATATTTTGTTTTGAAATCAATTAGCATTGATAGACCAAAATAAAGAAAAAAAATCATTGATCATTCTCTTATCCATATAGCACAATTGTCAACTTTCTGGTCTGTCTCATATATCTATTTTGATAGTTTTCATCTTCATCTTGCTTCCAAGTTTGATGGATTGGGTGTCTATTGTTTCTCATTTTTCTTCATTTGAACCAAAGCTACTAAGAATATTCTGATGGAGAAAGTGTTGCTTTTATTCAGTATTATTTCCTGAACATTCTTACAAACAGATTTTGACTATCCCATTGCTGTTATATAGTATATATGATTTTAATTTTTACACTTTTTATGAAATAGAAAAATAAAAGTTTATTATAAAATATACTGATATTTTTTTGGAGAGGTTTTTGCTGCAGGACGCATGCACTCACCATACAGAGAGACAGAAAGCGAGAAATCATCCCCCAGAGGGGATGGCCACGCCTTGATCCCTTCTCCTCCATTCCCCTCTCAGGATCTTTGGCATGCACGCACACGTGCCCCACGTGAGTTTAAGCTACTGGATACAAGGCTTGACTACATGGGAGTCCAGTGACAAAACCATTATGCCAATTGCTGGTCCCAAAATATCAGCAATTTCTGATTTCAAGGAAAATAATTGAAAACTACCTATAACCTTGTTTTCAGTGCTGTTTTTAGTATTTTGGATTGTACACTTACAAGATTATAAATATATAAATTTGTATTTATATATTTATAAATGTACATTTATATATAAACATATATACATGAATAATCATATATTATACATATATATAAAATGAGAGATAGTTTTTATATAATTATATTGACAAAGATAAAGTTTAGAATATATAAATTGCATTCTAAAATACATGAATATTCATATAATATATATGTAATATATAAAACATCAAATCATGCTTTACATTGTTTCAGAATCTTTATCTAATAAGTCTGACATATTTTATGTTTTTCCCCATCATTGAAAACGGCTTTTGAGCTTCTTCCCAGCCCTCACCCTCCTGCTCCCCAGATCTTGCCAGGAGTCAGGACAAGCCAATCATCAGCCATCTATATCTGAGTTCTGAGCGACCCCTTTCAGGGATTAGGACCACTGAAGACCTTCTGCCCAGACGTCACCCTCCTGCCCTGCAGATCGAGCCAGGAGCCAAGTTAGAGCACTCTCTTCATTGTCTCTCTCTGTCTCTCTTTCTCTTTTTAATTTTTAAACTTTTTACCTATCTGTCACTCCATTCTCCTTTCGGGATCTTGGGCATGCACGCACATGTGCCCGATATGAGTTTAAGCCACCAGATCTGGGACTTGAACTGTGGTCAGCTACATGGGAGTTCAACTACATAGCCGTTATGCTAACTGCTGGTCCCGCTCTATTTTTAATTTTTAAACTTTTTAGCTCTCTCTGTTTCTCTTTTATCTTGCTAATTATTAACTCCTCCCCCCAGTCTCCCATGCTTCCATAGGACAAACCAATCACCAGCCATTGATATCTGAATTCTGAGTACCCCCTTTCATTTTTTGCTTGAAAAATATTTTTTAATTGTGTTTGTCTTATTTTTTCTCTCTCTTTTTTTTTTTTGGTTGTTTTCCTTTCCTTTTCCTTTTCTTTTTATCTTTCTCATTTTCCTGCCCTGCCTCCACACATGGAGTTTCTAGACAGGTGAATAGTAGCCAAATATCTGAATACTTTTAGGGTCAGATAAGCCCTCAATTTTCATTGAATATACTGCACAAAGGAAGAAAAAATGGTATTGTTTAGAGATTGAAGATCACCTCCTCATGCATGCTTCTGAATGCTTAGATTTAACTCTAAATCTAGGAAAAAAATGTATAATCCATCAGATGACCAGAAACCACTGCAGAGGCACAAGAATTATGAGAAACCAAGAAAATATCTTTCCTCTAAGAGAAAAAGATA